CTTTTGTTTCTTAGGTGAGGGTTACCACTTATGGATTCAAGTTTTTCTATTCTCCCAGTTCTTTTGGCTGTGTAGGATACCAGTTTTGCTTTCACAATTCTTGTGGCTCTTTTAAACCATTTAGGAACATCCTGCTGTGGTTCCAGACTGTCTTGGGGATCCACAAAGTCCTCCACTCCATCAATTGTTGATTCATTTGCTTTTTTGTCTTGTGATGTTTATTCATAGATATCTAGACTTACAGCAGATCTGGAGGGCATATTCTCTTCTGTTATTAGTATCTTGTTAATTTGTATGCTTATGCTCAAAGTCTTTAACTTTTTCTTCCTCCTGAGATCTTTAGTAATTTCAGTCTTTGCCCCTAATATTTCTCCTATTGCTCACTTTTTGACTCCTCCTCTTATAACAGTTTCCTTCAGGGCTAGACTTCAAAGCTGTGTCAGCCTTCTCCCATCCTAAGGACTTTGCACTGAGTCGGCCTCAAGTGAATTATGTGGGACAGAATTGGCCCCAGCTAGGTGCCAGTTCCTTTTCCTAAAGGCATGGTGGAGGACTACACACACCAGTTCCCTCTTGTTCCTCATTTCTGTTGCTGACTTTGTGTGTTGTTTTGTTTTTGTTTTTAGCAGCCATTCCACAGTCTGGTGTCTGGTGAGGGTAGTGTTGCTGAATGAATGGGTTAGAGATTATTAGCCTTCTCTGCAGTTTAGTTCATCAGATTATTACATCAGATTGGGATTCTTGGTGTCTTAGACCATGTAGACAATTGAAACTATTTTTATCTCTTACTCATAATTCCTTATTTGGAGAGGTTTGAAAGGTTGCGAGGATGAAAATGCCTAGTACTAGAAAGTCCATGGCCACTAAACCAGTCTCCATTAAAGGCAGAACTTGTTTCCTAGTCTTCTTATTTGTCACATTGTATATAAATGCTTAAGAAATATATGGTACATGAAGCTTAATAGAGAAATATACTAATCTAAATTATAGTTTAAGAAAATCTGAGTAACTAGCATTTATGTCATACTTTACAGTTTATGATTCACATTCTTGAAAATAACTCTATGATGCAGTTAATGCAAGTATTATTTTCCTTATTAGATAGGTGAGTCAGCTAAGGTTGAGTGATTCTAGCAAGTGTTCCAAACTATGCTTAATCACTTGTCTGTGTCTCTAAATCCATTGTTCTATCTACTGGCTTCATCAAGATCATTAGGAGTTTCATATACCTTACACTGGCCTAGCAGTGTCATAGAGTGAAAAGAGCTTTAGTTTTGCAGCTTTTACTGTGTGACTCCCTTGCTCAATTAACTCTACTGGCTTCCTCTTACCTCTAGCATTAAAAAAAGAATTCATTGTTCAGACAGACAAGACTGACTCTTTGTTATGGAATGGCTCTTTGGAAGGGAAGTGGGAGGTAAAGGCTACAGGGAAAATTATGATTTGTCCTTCGTTCTCAAAGAGGACCATGATGACATCAGGAAGATGATGCTATAACTTGCAGATGAATTGGATTTGAGTGAGAGAGGGCTGTGCCAAGTCACCAGCCTCACTTTCTCCTCCAGAGCCATCTGGGTCCAGTAGCCAAATACAGATCAGGACAACTGGAGATAGCCTAGGATGCAGTGGAAAAACCTTGGCCCTTTTAAGTTAAAGTCTTTCTGAATTCTTACTTTGAGGTTTAGGTTATGTAAAAAGTCAAGTCAACAAGCACCTATTATATGCCAGGCATTGTGCTAAAAATACTGTTCTTCGATGTAAAGCAAAAAACAAAATACAAAAAAAGTTTAGTTGGGTTTTGTTTTGTTTTGTTTTGTTTTAACAGATAGTATGAGAAGGGAAGAGTGGGACAGGAGAGAGAAGAGGAAGGACAAAATCATGTAGGCTTCAGATTTCCTGGACTCTTTTCCTGAATACACCTAAAATGAGATTGGTGAAACCAACTAGAACTCATTCAGATTTGGGGAATGGAATGAATTTATCATTAAATAATCAACCAGCTCCATTTCATGGTCAAGAACAATAGATAGAATTTATGCCAGTCTAGAGGATTGGTCAATATAGATAATAGATTAACCTCCCAAGTTCAACCCGCCTCACACCCAGAGCTTCATACACAGACAACAGAAAGGGGAGAAGATAATTATTTTTATATCTGTCCATCACTATTGAGACAGATCTGGGGTGAAGCTAAAGCTGTCTCCATAGGGCAGTGAAAACGAAAATCAACTTTGTTAGCCCTGTACATTATTGCAGAGAAAATTCAACATCCTAATGGCCCTCCATTACAGAATTTTACCCAGGACACTGAGAAAATCAACATCAACAAATCTGTCCTTTATTGAAGAAGCCCTGTGAAAAGGCAAGAGGAAAAAAAAAGACCTGAGCCCTCAGTAACCATTAAGGGCTTAGATTATCAAACTCTGAATCCCGGCACTTTGTCTGGGACAAAGTCTCTTGTCCTCATTCAGGAAAAGGTCCTTGTACACAGATTTAGTGTTTTTGTACCCCTTGTGCCTGAGACATAATAACTCTGTCACTGTGTGTACTAAGTTACCAATGATCTCTTAGTTTCCAAAACCAGTGGCCTTTTTTTTAAAACTCTTTATTTTCTTGAGCTCTCAACAGCCTTTGACACTGTCAGTCAACCTCTTCTTGATATTCTCTGCCGTCTAAATTTTCTGAACACCACTTTCTCCTGGTTTTCCTCCTATTTGACTGTTGCTTTTCAGTCTCCTTTGCTGGAGTGTTTATCTGTGTTAGTTGAGCCCATTGACTATGGGTGTCCAATAAGGCTGTGTCTGGGCCCTTTTCTCTTCTCCCTGCTAATTTGCTTGGTGATCTCATCAGTGCCTATGATTTTAATTATCTCATTGCTGATAGTTCTCAGATCTACTTATCCAGCCCTGACCTCTGCTGACTTCCAATCTCACATTTCCAACTGTCTTTCAGACACCTCAAACTAGATGTCCTGTAGACATCTTAAAATCAACATGTCCATTGAAAACTAAGATTTTTTTTAAAAAGTCTTTAAACAACAACAAAAAAAATCAACATGTCCAAAACTGAACTCATTATCCTTTCCCAAAAATCCAGTATATTTATTTGAACATAGTTGCATATTGCATGTTGTCTCCCTCATTAGGTTGTGAGCTCCTTGAGGGCAGGGACTACCTTTTGCCCTTCTTTATAGCTCTAGTTTTTGGTGTTTTTTTTTTAATGTAACAATTTAAATTTTTTGAAAGTTTTAGTTTTCAATAGTCACTTTTATAGGATTTTGAGTTCTTCATTTTTTCCCCCTCCCTCCCCACCGCCCTCCCCAAGATGGCCTGCAATCTGATATAGGCTATACATGTACAATCATATTAAACATATTTCCATATTAGTTATGTTGTGAAAGAAAAAGCAGAACAAAAGGGAAAAACCACACACAAAAAGAGAAAGAAAGTAGTATGCTATGATCTGCATTCTGACACCATAGTTCTTTCTCTGGATGTGGATGGTATTTTCCATCATGAGTCTTTTGGAATTGTCTTAGATTCAAAGTTGGTCATCACACGCTGTTGTGTAGTCCTAGTTGTTAGCACAATTTGGCCTTTGGTAAATGCTTATTGACTCACTGACTAATAAATGCCTGTTGATTGATCATATCACTCATAAGTCTTCTCCAGGTCGATATCCCCAATTCCTTCAGGTGGTCCTAAGTTGCTTTTTGGACACTTTCTTTATATTAGGTTACAAACTAAAATGTGGAACTCGAGAATGATCTCAGGTCAGATATTCATGGCCTTCTACTCTTTTGGTAGAGTAGATGGCAAGGTCCTTGGCTGAAAGCAACTTGTATAAGAAGAAGAGGTTTGGAATAGAAGTTGTGGGAGAATGCTGTAGAGATACTCAAGGAATAATAAGATTGCCAAGCAGAAGTGAGGGCCCACTTGAGATCATAGAGCATAAGGTTTTATTGATCCCATTTTGGCAGAGTTCTGTGACTCCTTCTAGTGGTATCTAGCTGTGTACCAGTGTGATCATAGTGGCTGGCAGGCCTGAAGTTGGGGTTTTGCAGTTCATGAGGTGCATATATAACTCCACCAAGAACAGAATCTGTTTCATCTTTATCTTTGTATCCCCAGCACCTAGTAGATTATTGTTGATTTTCCTCAGTGGAAGACAGGAAGTCTCCAATGAAATTACATGTCTGAGCCAGATCCCCTAAACCTCCAAAAAATTTCTCAAGTTAATGACATTTTCAACAAATATAAAAGATGTGAGTTAACCAGAGAGTGCTTTTATGTCTTATAATATTTATAATATTTTATATTATATTAGAGAATAGTTTATTTTTTCTTTTTTAATCTGAATCTGTAATTTCATCTTTGCAAGAAACTCCCTTGACAACAAGTTGACAACTGTTCTATGGCTTAGCATCTTAAGAGTTTCTTGGGGCACAGAAGTTAATTTACCCAAAGTCACATAGCCAGCTTATCTTAGATACTAGACTTGAACCTTACTCCATTAAGAATTAAAATTGAGAAAGATTTCAAATAATTGAAAGGTCTTTGCTGAAGTTAGAATGTAATAACCACAATTTTAGAAAGGAGTACCTTAACTTATCTACATTAAAAAATACACCTTTAGCCAAAAAATTTACCTTCTATTATTTTTCCTCAGCTTATGTTCATTCATTTATGAAGGAAACATTGGAGACACTGTACTAGGGTCAGTAAATTGGTTCTGACATAAAACTGTATTGCCTTTTTGAAACTTGGGGAAATAATCATCTTTATAATTCATCCTCTTGAATTGTACATTCTTCGAAGACTAGAGTACTTTTTTTTAATCTTTGTAGTCCCAATGTCTGTCACATATTAGGTGCTTAATAAATGTTTATTGAATATTCTTGAATGAAAAAAAATGTGCATTATGAGCAACAGTTAACAAAATTTGACATAGATATCATGAACATTGCTGTTAGGCATTTAAATATTATGTTTATCTGACAGATGTGCCAAGAGTTCAATAGCACTTGGGCGTGGGAGATGGAGAAGAAAGGCTATCTTGAAATGAGTGTCGAATGCAAATTGGGACTTTTAAAGGTAATAAATTTATTGTTTCTTGTAATGCCTTTGTTTTAAAACATTTTGTAGCCCTCATAGTTGAATTTGGAGACCAGCTGAAAACCAGTATTATCATTATCGGGAGGAACAGAAGAAACTATTCTTAACCTAGATGGTTTTTGATTGCTTTCTAAATCCAGCCTTTTGCAATTATGTAAGTTTACAAGGATGGTGATAGAAAGGATAGAAATGCATTTTCAAATTAGCTTCAACCTTCTCAAGAATTGCTAATGTGTATAGCAAAACTTTGTTAATATTGCTTGTCATACTGGGTTAGTAACTTGAAATAATTGTTCTTCCCTAAGACTCATTGTATTTTAAATAAAATTGCTAGAAAGTACAAATCCAAATTGGAGTGTCGCTTGCTCTCCCTGCCCTCCTTCCCATGTAGGGCTACTGAAGAGTGAAATGACCAGCAGAGGGAAGGACGAACCCTTTCCACAGACTGGTTAAAGAAAGGCTAACTGCTTCTGAAATTAGAAGCTTTTTATAAACAGGTTGAATGATCAGAGGACCCCAAGATTACATACTTATTCTTAAATTATGTAAGTAAACATTCTACTTTTCAAAGATTGGCTCATGTTAGATATGTAATACATGTCACTCCCTTGTTCCCACACGGTAATAGACTGACTTGATCATCCATTAGGTTCCCTTCTAGGGAAACAAAAAGATGTAGTAGAATCAGATTCCAGTTTGGGGCCAGTATCAAATACAAGGAATCACAGAATTTGTCTTAGAAATCTTACATATCAGAATTCTGCAAGCAGACATCAAGCAAGACTAGGAAGACTGGTGATGTATTTCTTGACCCTTTTGGGCTCTCTGCTTCCATATAGCTTGAATTGGCCAGTTATCAAATCTCACAGGCAGTGCCATGACACGAAACCATAGTAGGCTAGAACAGGGAGAAAGCAGGGTGACCAGGGCATGAACTACATTTGTCGGGAGACTTGAAGAAGGAATCTGATTCAGGGTCCAGGTAGACCCTGACAGCATGCTGAAACTTAAATGAAAAGTGTCAGCTATTTTTATGAATAGTTAAAAATTAGACATGAGTGAGTATCATTTCATTAAGAGAATGAATGGAAGACAACATCTGCTGAATGAATATCTTTTTAAAAGGCTAAGTATGTGTTAGGCTTTAAAGAACAGCTTTTGAAAGGTTACCTGTATTAAAAAAAAAGATCATTTAATCATTTAGAAGCAGATTTTGCTATATGTGTGTTGTGCGTAAATTTTACTTAAGATTTTGGTGACAGTTGGAAATTTTTGAAATTGTGATGCTATATAATAACCCAGATATATACAAGGCTGTGTATGGTATGAGCTTATTTAAATTTACCATTTTAAGTAATGATAATTGTAGGATTTTTGCTTGCATTTTATCTACTTATATGAGCTATCATGTTTGATTCTCAGTATTGCAGTCATATCTGGCCCAGCTGGAATATTTCTTAGCTCTGTGCCTGTAGATCGCAGTTACACTATCACTCTTCCATTATTTTTGTGGGGAAAGTGCTTGAGAAACCTTAAGTGACGATATATGAACTGTTACTTTTTTATTATTGTAAGTCAAACAAAAACAGTGAGATGGAACGTTTTCAAAAGAGATGAGCATTTTGTTTATTATTTCTTACTGTGGTGGAAAAACATAGATGCAATATTTCAATCCACGTTACAATTTTTTCTAGTACCTCTGTGAATGTCAGTTTGATGACAATCTGAAGTTTAAGAACATTATTAATGAGGAGGATGCTGATGCCATGCGCCTCCAGCCAATTGGCCGAGACAAAGATGGTCTCATGTATTGGTACCAGCTGGATCAAGATCATAATGTCAGAATGTACATAGAAGAACAAGATGATCAAGATGGGTCTTCATGGAAATGTATCGTCAGGTACGTTTTTAATTGTTTTAAATAAATTTTTTGCTAGTAAAATTTTTGTGAATACACAGTTCTTTTTTCCCAAAAAAATTATTCTTAGAGGGAAATAAAAATATTAAAATTTTATTTTAATATATTGCATGTTTTAAAGATAAAAGTGTTCAAATTAGTGCATTTATATGAGAAAAGTTCTATATTCGTTCCTTCCCATGCACATAATTCAAATTTGTTGTTTTAAACAATTACCTGCTTAAATTCAGTTCAACAGACTTTTATTAAATGGCTACTGTATGCATATCCCAGTGTTAGGTTCTGGGTAGACCAAGATAAAACATATAGTACCTGTTCTCATGGAGTGCTAATACATGTACATAGTTAATTGTAAAGCAATTTGAAATATAGTTACAGGCTTTGAAGTTGTCTAACAGTAGCAGAAAAGATTTGAGAAAAGAAAAATCACTTCTCCATGGGAGTGTCATGGAAGGTTTCATTATGACCATTTCATTTTGGCAGCATTCTTTCTCTGTGTTGAAATTTTACAGAAGTTCAGTTTCTTAACTTGACACAGGAATCTGAAAAATCCTAACTTGTGTTTTGCCTTGGGGGGGAAGGGGGGAGGCTTGGAGAATTTTTTGGTTTTCTTACATATAGTAATTACAGTCTTTATCCTGAATCTCTCTTTATGTTTGTATTTCCCATACTGGAAGCTCAACTATTCAGAATTCAGTGATTATGCAAAGGCTGACACCTGTAGCTTACATTTACTTCTGTGCACTCTTCCATTGAAGTTCAACAGTTTTTTTTAAGTGAACATTTTAAAGAAGCATACTCTCATTTTTAGTGATGACCAATGTGTGGATTTGTTTTCCTTAATCATATTTGTTACAAAGAAGGACTTGTATTTGAGTGTGGGCAGATTTGTAGAGGGATAAAGACATATAGTGATGATAATAACAAAAGAGTAACAGAAAGGAAAATAAAAAAGAAACATTACAAAGTTCATGGTAAGCAGAAAGAGGTTCAGAAAGGTATATAGACAGGCAAGGCAATATTAGGACTACTATGTTATAGCTAATGTGTATTTTAAAATGCTAAACTCTGCATAATATTGATGTCAAGTACAGTCAGTCCTATTTTTCTCCTCTTTGTATAAAGAAATTTTCATGTTATTCAGAATAATTTAAAAAAAATTTTTAAAAAAAGAAATATACCGCAATTTTGAGTGTGCCTTTTTATTTGAGGTGATACTATGGTGCCCCTGAATACATTAGCTATTCCCTTTTAGCAGATGTAACATAAATTAACTAAGAATACTTATTTCCAAAGCTGCTTCTTTCAGACTATGGTAATCTGGTCTCCCAGTAGAGTTAACTTGTTATACTTAGATAAGCAGCCAAATCCCAAAGAATTGTTAGTAATCTGTTTCCAATATATAGCATAAAACAAAGGAGATTTTTATGATACTTTACCGTATCCCTCTGTCATTCCTCATATTACATTGAACATACCCATCTTTGTGTTTGGAGATCAAGGATTCTTAACCTGGGGTCCACATACCCTCAAAGAGTTTGTGAACTTGGATAGAGAGATTACATCTTTATTTCCGATAAACATCTAACTGAAATTTAGCATTTCCTTCAGTCATGAATGTAGGCAACACACATGATTCTGAAATAGAGTCCATAGGCTTTGCCAGACTCTGCCAGAGGGATCTAAGACACCAAAAAAGGTGAAAAACTCCTGTTTTGATTTAATAAAATGTGGTATATGAAAAGGCAAATTCTCTTATTATTGAACCCCAGAAAGATTAAGTGACTTGCCTAAGGTCACCCTGCTAATTAATGACAAAGCCAGAAATGTAGTCTTTCTATTTCTAAACAGCTTAGAAGAAAATAATTTTACTCATTTTCAAACAGCTTTCAAGTTGAGTGCAATGGGGTCCTTGGATCTCTGACACTTGGCAATATCTTTCTCTCCCTATTCCCCCTCTTTTCTTCCACCATAAAAAAGAGATAGCATTATATTGTCAAGGACATAGCTTCAGACGTCTGGGCCTTTGATTTTATTGTCAATCTATCCTTCTGTTAGTCAACAAGCATTTATTAGGTATTTACTATGTGCCAGACACAGTACTCTGTTAATCTTAGTGAAATTTTTTGTAGCATTCAAAATTAAGTGTTGTGTACCAGAATCCCCTTTTTTGACCACAATCTGTTGGCTTTCTCCCTCTTTCTCTGTTTTCCTTTGACAGACTCTGCTCTTCACCCACAGCATGACCTTCAATCTTTTGACCCTTCAGTTCTTTCCCAGGCCTTCTTCCCTACACTGTCCACTCTCTCCTTTTCTCCCCATTTTGACCTCTTGGTGAACCAGTTCAACTCTACACCAACCTTTTCTTGAATCTCTGGCCCCTTATCCTATCTCCAGTTGTGCTGTGCCAAACCTCAGCCTAGGAAAACTCTCACTATATTTTCTGTCTTCATTTCTACATACATGCTTTTGAGCAGAGGTAGAGAAAATCACACAAACATTTTGATTGGGTTCACTACGAATTTATGTTATACAATCTCACTTGTGTCCTCATTGCTGCTAGGCAATCCTCCTATACCTTCTTTTTCAACTCAATATCCCACTTTCCACAATGGCTTTTCCAAATCTTTTCATCCTTTCTCAAACCTCCCATGCCTCCCCTCCCCCTCCTTCCCACTACACTCTCAGCTGAGAACTTTACCTCATATTTTATAGAAAAAATCAAGGACTTTCTCCATGAGCTCCCTCTTCTCCCTGCTTCCTTGTCTTGTATCACTCAGATGCCTTCTGCTACTATGTCCTCCTCTTCTCACACAGAGAAGTGACCTTACTTCTTACCAACGCTAACTCCTTTTCCCGTATAAGTGATTTTATTCCATCCTGTTTCCTCTAACAGACTGTCTGTCCCCTTTTTCATCTTTACTCTGTCATTTATCTTTAATCTCTCCCTGTCTACTAGCCCCTGCTTACAAACATGTATCCTTATCTTCCCTATCCTGGGGGGAAAAAAACCTTACTTGACCCGTCCCTGCTTACTTATTGTCTTAGATCTCTTCTGACCTTTGTGGCTAAACTTCTTGAGAAGGCTGTCTGAAATAGGTGTCTGTGCCTTCTCACCTTTCCTCTTACTTCTTCAGACTCATCATTCCACTGAAACTGCTCTCTCCAAAGTAACCAGGGTTCTCTTAGTTTCCAAATTCAGTGGCCTTTTCTCAGTCCACATGCCACATCTCTGCAGCCTTTGACACTGTTGATCACCCTCTTCTCCTAGATAGTCTCTGTTTTGTTTTACAGAACATATCCTTTTAAGGAGATTTATTCTTTTAAAAAAATTTTTTTAAAATTTATTTTGTTTTCAATATTCACTTCCATAAGATTTTGAGCTCCAAATTTTCTCCCTATTCCTCCCCTGCTCCCACCTAAACATGGCATGCAATTTTATGTAGGCTTTACATATACATTCATGTTAAACTTATTTTCACATTACTCATGTTGTAAAGAAGAGTTAGAACCAGTGGGAGAAATCATGAGAAAGAAGAAACAGCGCAAATAATATGCTTCAGTCTGTATTCAGACTCCTTAGTTCTTTTTCTGGACGTGGATTGCATTTCTGCATGCTCTCTTCTCACTAGGTTTTTGGGACATCACCCTCTCCTGATTTTCCTCCTACCTGTCAGATCATTTCTTTCCAGTTTTCTTTGCTGACTCCTCATGCAGATCATCCCCTCTAAATGTAGGTGTTTCCCAGGACTCTGTCCTGCATCCTTTTCTGTTCTTCCTCTGTACTACTTTACTTGGTGATCTTATCTGCTCCCATGAATTTAATTACCATCTCTTTATTGATGATTCAAACCTACCTTTCCTGCTCGCTCTCTCCTGACCTCCAATTTTGCGTCTCCGGCTGCCTTTTAGATATCTCGAACTGAATGTCCAGTAGACATCTTAAACTCAGTATATCCAAAACTAGACTCATTATCTTTCACCCTAAACCAGGGGGCAGGGAATCTGCCACATGTGATTTTCTAGGTCCTTGGATGCGGCCTTTTGACTGTGTCCAAGTTTTACAGAACAAATCCTTTTATTAAGGGGACTTGTTCTTTGAAGTTTGGGTCACACTTGAGGACCTAGAGGACTACGTGTGGCCTTGAGGCCAAAAGTTCCCCACCCCTACCCTACCTTCCCTATCACTGTAGAGGGCAGTACCATGCCTCCAAACTTTAGACTCCTGGGTGTCCTTCACAGCTCTTCACTGTCTCTCCCTTCCTCCCCTCCAATCCATCTGGTGCCAAAGTGCTGTCGATTTCATCTTTGCAACATCTCTCCAATAGGCCACCTTTTGTCTTCTGACACTGCCAACACTCTGATGTAGGCTCTCATCCCCTCATGCCTAGATTATGGCAATACCCTGCCTACCTCAAGTCCCTCCTCATTCCAATCCATCCTTCATTCAGTCACTAAAGTGATTTTCCTAAAATGCAGGTTCAACCATGTCACCCCTCTGTTCTGTGAGCTCCAGTGTCTTCTTATCACCTCCAGGATCAAATACAGAATGTTCAGTTTGGCGTTCAAAGCCCTTTATAACCTAGCTCTGTTTTACTTTTTCAGTCTTCTTACACCTCACTCCCTAACAGGTACTCTGATCCAGTTACACTGGCCTCTTGGATGTTCCATCTCTTGGCATTCTTTCTATCTATTTCCTCTGCCTGGAATGCTCTCTCTCCTCTCCTCTTACTACTGACCTTCCTGACTTCCTTTAAGTCCAAACTAAAATTTTCTACAAGAAACCTTTCCCAACCCCTCTTAATTTCACTGTTTTCTCAATATTAATTATTTCATATTTATCCTATATGTAGCTTTTTTGCACATAATTATTTACATGTTGTCTATTTCATTAGATTGTGAGCTCTTTGAAGTTGTAGATTGTCTTTGTTTCTTTTTGTATTCACAGTCCCTGGCACATAGTAGGTGCTCAGTAAATATTTCTTTGCTGATGGACATAGCTATAATTACCTGATAATTTTAAAAGCACAGTACCAGGTCCTTGTTGAGATGAATTTAGATTCATAAATTTTAAGCTTAGTTAACTGTTAAAAAAGGAGTGAATTGGGTTTGTAGATCATGGAGTTGGTTAGTAAATCTCACTATGCAGGTACTTTAGACACTCTGCATTCTAATTCTAATACTAGGAATTACTTGAATTAAGACATTTTAGAATTCCTGATTTTCTAAATGAGTAGAGAAGATGAATCATTGTAAATATATCTGAAAGCAAATTTTATGTTGGCAGCATACTGAGTCCATTATCTGGTTTTAACCTTTTACTTGTTATAAAGCTGTGCATTAGTTTTGTTTTGGCTGTTTTCTCTCCAAAACAAAACCCAAAACTAAAATACTACTGTTCTCTTTGCCAGTGAGTTTGATACAGGTTTCTTTTCAGAGGGGATCCTAAATTCATTCTTCTAAGTCAGGTAGCCCTTTGTCACCCTGGTTCTTAGGGAGAGGTAAGTGACTCAGTAAGTATGTGTTGAGAAAGAAATACCAGTTGTGAACTAATCCAACCATTGTGGAGAACGATTTGGAACTATGCCCAAAAAGCAATGAAACTGGCCGTACCCTTTGATTCAGCATTACCACTACTGTGTCTGTATCCCAGAGAGATTTTTTGAAAAAGGGGGAGAAAGGGGGATAGAACCTATCTGTACAGAAGTATTTATGGCAGCTCTTTTTGTGGTGGCAAAGAATTGGAAATTGAGGGGATGCCCATCAAATGGGAAATGGTTGAACAAGTTGTGGTATATGAATGTAATGGAATATTATTGTACTATAAGGAATGATGAGCAGGATGATTTTAGAAAAACCTAGAAAGACATAACATGCACTGATACAAAGTGAAGTGAACAGAACCAGTAGAACATTGCACACAATACCAGCAATATTGTGTGATAATCAAATGTGAATGATTTAGCTATTCACAGAAATACAATGATACAAGATAATTCCAAAGGATTCATGATGAAAAACACTATCCACATCCAGAGAAAGAACTGGTGGAATCTGAATGCAGATCAAGGCATACTATTCTTCACTTTCTTTATTTTTTTCATACTTCTTGTTTATTTTTTGTCAATGTTTATTTCACAGTATGACTAATATGGAAATATGTTTTGCATGATTACATATGTATAACTATATCAAATTGCTTACTGTCTCAGGGCATGAGTGGGAGAGAAAGGAAAGGAGAGAGTTCAGAGCTCAAAATTTTAAAAATAAATGTCAAAAATTATATGTGTAATTGGGGGAAAATATTTTTTTAAAAAAGAAACATTGATTTATTTAGACAGTTGTAATCTAGGAAGATTCCTTAACTTCTTAGCTTCTGTTTCTTCTTCTGAATGAATTTAATAATTACTTTGATTACCCATGTCACAAGTTTGTTTTAAGCAGAGTGTGGTGTAATTGCAGACACTCTTTTTACCTCTGCTGAAGTCCTATTCAGATGATTCACTACAGCGTGGAGGTCCATACTGCTTGGATGCAAGCTCCTTGGACTGTCTTGCAAAGCTGCCTTTGAGCATTGCTCAGCCTAGCTCAGCTCAGAAACACTAATTGTCAGTGCATAATGAATCAACAGACAATTTAATTTTTCAGCCATGTCAACTTATAAATGTTGTTTACTAAGTGTTAGAGGAATTAGGATCTGCATTGGTAGAAGAAGTAGCCACAATGATGGAGAATTAGACTGAAATAAGAGTTCTTTTTTGAATACTTATCTTGTAAGGAAGCAGTTGATGGGGTCAGTGGTGGTGTTTGTACTGTATAAATAGAAATCAGTAGGATAACTTGTGAGCAGAAAAATGGATTTTCATGGTGTCATATTTCTTTGCCTTGTTTAGAAATAGAAATGAACTGGCTGAGACTCTGGAACTCCTGAAAGCTCAAATAGATCCTGCACTTTTGAAAAACTCTAGCCAACAGGATGCCTCCTCCCGAGAAAGCCCCAGCCTAGAGGAAGAAGAAACTAAAAAAGATGGAGAAACAACTAAACAAGGTTTTTTTGCATTTTTTTTAAACAGCTCTTCACTCCCACACCCTGCCCTACATTTCTCCATAGCTCCCAAAATACATACAACAGTATCCTATTTTAATTTCAGAAATTAGCATCTTTGTCTGAAGAAGATTGCCAAGCTAATATTTTCTGGTCTTTCAGTTAAAAAAAAAAAAAGAAAAGCATAAATGTACAAGTTATAAAAAATAATTCCAGGGCAGCTAGGTGGCGCAGTGGAGAGAGCACCGGACCTGAAGTCAGGAGGACCTGAGTTCAAATCTGCCCTCAGACCAAACACTTGACACTTACTAGCTGTGTGACCCTGGGCAAGTCACTTAACCCCAGTTGCCAAAAAAATAAAAAATAAAAATAAATAATTCCAACAGGGTTCAGTAAGAAAATGCTTAGCCACTTATCAAAATAAGTAAGAGCTGACAATAGTGGCAGAGGTACTTGGAGTAAAAAGGCTTATGCTCAAGTCCCAGCTCTGCCATTAGTTAACTACATGATGGCAGACCTCTCTAAGCCTCAGTTTACCTCACAAGGTTATTGTGAAGAAAATGTTTTGTAAACCTTAGAGTACTGTAGAAAATGTGAGCTGTTATGATTAATGAATAGATAGCAATGATGTCTAAATGTGTAAAAGATCACTAATTCATCATGTCTAAGCTATGACATTTATGAATGTTTGGGAAGTTGCCACTGAATGAGTAAACGCTTTAAAATTCCAGTTTGATTTTAAGCAATGAAATTTGACCATCTCATTTAGAACCACTCTAAATGTTAACATTTTTTCTTGCACAGATCCAAAATCAGTGTCCACATTCATTGGCCTCTGGATTCAACCAAAACAAGTCAAGGCCATCTTCCACATGAAAACCTTTCATTGTATACTTAAATATGGCCATTATACCCTGCCTAAGTCTTTTTTTCCAGGTTGAAACATCCCCTAGTTCCTTCGTATGATAGCATCTGGAGTCCACTAACTTTCCTGGCTGTTTACCTCAGATTACAATTTAGATCTGATTCTTTGCATTGACCTCAGTCTGCGTCTTATTCATTTCTCTACTCTGCTCAGTATATAGAAAGAGCAAAATGTAGGAAACGTGGCTTTTATATAAAATGCTTGATTAATCTCTCTCGAAATGTTTTTAGGGAAAAACAGTAATTGACAGTATCTGTGGTGGATTTTGTTTTTTATGGCATCTGAACAACTCTTGATCTGTATTTGAAATAGTTTTAAAATAATGTGAATACATTCTTTAAAACCATATCCATTTGTGACATAGAAACATGTGACTAGATTGTTCTTTAAATATTGATTAGAATTCATTTGTGAATACATGTGATCCTGGAGGTGGTGGAAGGTTCCTTTCAGGAGTCATTTATGACTTGTTCAGTTTCTTTTTCTGATATCGAATTATTTAAATTCTTTCTTGTTTTGATAATGGGGGTATTTTTTAACTATAAAGATAACCATTCCTTTTTGTAAATTTTGTTGTCATATACTTGAGAAAAATCTTTTTCTAATAAATTCTTTTATTCTTTGTGAAAATTTCTTATTACTTCCTGACCCTGGAAGTTTTTTTTAAGCTCTCTTTTTTAAAAAATCGGACTTTTAAATTATATAATATTTTATCTATTTTATTGTTTTTTCCTTTCAAACAATAACCTTTTTTTATTTCTCAATTTAATGGGTTTTTTCTTTTTATCTTTATTAATCTTATCTTTGATTTTCAGAATATCTTTTTTGCTCTTTAGTTGGTTTTTAAAAATTCTAGGAGTTCAGATTTTTTTTCTTTCATTTTCTTTCATATCCGATTCATTCATCTGTTCTTTCTCTTCTTTGTCGATGAAATTGTTTAGAGAGGTAAATTTTCCATTCGTTGCCACTTTGGCTGCGTTCCAGAACTTTTGGTATGGTGTCTCGTTTTCTTTCATGAAATTTTCTATTGTTCTTGTGCTTTGTTCTTTTACCTAATGATTCTTTAGGATTAAGTTAATTGCTAATAAATTTTTAATTCCTTATAGGCCCCTTTATTGAATATAATTATTGAATTGTTATCAGTAAATAATAGTTTTGCTTTTTTTTTTTTGCATTTGTGAGATTTTTATACCTCATAGGTATAGGAGGTGGAGAACCTGCAGCCTCCAGGCCACATGTGGCCTTCTAGGTCTTCAGGTGTGGTCTTTTGAGTGAGTCCAAGTCTTACAGAATAGATTGTTTTATTAAGGGGATTTGTTCTGTAAGGTTTGGATTCAGTCAAAGGGCTACACTTGAGGACCTAGAGGGCCACATGTGGCCTTGAGACCACAGGTTCCCCACCCTGCCTAATGCATGGTCAGTTTTTGAAATAATGATCATGCTGAAAAATGTGTTTATACTTTCGTTTTTCTGTTCAGTAGCCATCAGCAATCTTATCATTTTTAACTTTCTAAAATCTATTTAGGTCCTTAACTTTATTGCACATCTTGGTTAGATTTGTGTTGGTCTGAGAGTGAGTGGTACATCATTATAATCCCTCACTTTTACCCTTATGATTTTTAAAATAAATCAACTTATCAAACAATTAATTAATTAATTAAACAAATAAGTCATATTTTCTTTTAGGTATTTAGATGTTATGCCATCTGGCATATGTATAGATAGTAATTAATTTTCTGTGATACCTTTAAACATTGTGTTATCCTTGTTCACCCCTTTTAAATAATTAAATCTATTTTTTAATAATCTAATGCAGTGTAAATCTTTTTGTTTTGAATATGCTTCTTGTAAATAGCATTTTTTTTTGGATTCTTATTTCTTGTTCATTCTGCCAACCTTTTCTGTTTGTCGTTGAGTTTATTGTAAGTATTTATCATTCGTTATTATCTTTGTCTTTAGTTATGATTAACTTTTCTACATCCTCTCCTGTTATACTTTTTCTTTATTTGATCTCTTACTCTTCTCTTTTAAAAGATACATTCATCTTTTTTTTTTCCTCTTGACTCCTGTATATGCTTTTTAAAAGTATCTCCTCAGTTGTGGTCTCTTCATGAGGAATGTTAGGAAGCTTTCTGTTTTGTTAGAGGTCCTTTCTGTCTCCCCCACCCCCTGCTCTCCCTTACCTGGTAAGATTAGACTCAGCTTTCCAGAGTAAAGCTTTCTTGATTGTAAGCTTGTATATTTTGCTTTCTGGTATATTGCGTTCCATATTTCCCTCTCCATTATATGGGTAGCTGTCTGATCTTGTATACCTTTGCCCCTTTTTAGATGAACATTTTCTAGCTATCTTGGCTGCCGTGTGTCTGTGTGTGTATTTTTTAAACTTGGACGTTCTAGATATTTTGACTATGATATTCCTAGGGATTTTCATTTTGGGAATTCTCTCAGGAAATGACTAGTTTATTCTTTTCTTTTTTTACTTTGTTTTCTGGTTCATCTAGGTTTGGGCAGTATTAATTTGTGCTTTTAAAAAATCTGCTGTGAATGCCTTTTTTTTATTGTTCGGTAATTCTTAGGTGTTTCCCATGTCCTATTTCCCAGGTCAGTTATTTTTGATAGGAAATAGCTAACATTTTCTGATAATTTCTCAGTCCTCAGATTTTGGTTTAGTGTTTCTTAGTATATCATCAAATTATTAATCTTTCTCTGGTACAATATAATTTGCAGGGAAACTGTTACTTGAATAAGGCTTTGTATCTCCTAAAATAATCTGTCCATTCTCATTTCAGTTCTTTATCCAAAACTCCAATTTTGTTTCTTTTTGTTTTCTCTTGTTTCACTTATCTAATAGTTTTTTAATTTAAAAAAGTGCTCATTATTATTTTCATCATCAACTTGTTTTTCATTAGAGTGCTATGTTTCTTAAGGATATCAGGAATGTTTAACCAGAGCAGTCTGATTTAGGGCATGCTTATATTACTGTCCTCCTTCACAGAGTCCTGCAGGTTTCTGAACACCGCAATATCAGGCTTCAGGCGTCCTTGGTTAGACCCAGGTTTAGGCTTCCACTTTGCAGACTCCAGCCCACAGCCATGGGCTGTTGATATCCATGGCTTTTCCTTGGTCTCTGTGCTATAAGCTGCAGGCCAGGCAGGCTTTTCTGGTTAGATGCCTTTCCCAATATCCTAAGGCTTCTGGAAGTCTGTTTGCATAGATTTTAGCTTGCAAAATGCACTTATTGTAGTTTCTCCTTGTATTTCTTTTTTTAATTATTATTTGTATATTTTTAACATTTATATTGAAAATTTTTTCAGTTAAGAATTCTTTCTCTCTTTGCCCCTCCCCCACCCATTGGGAAAGCAAGAAATGTGATATTGATTACACATTTGAAATTGTGCAAAGCATATTGGAATATTAGCCATGTTTTAAAAAAAAGACAAGAAAAATAAAATGAAAGAATGAAGCTTCAGTCTGCATTCAGACTCCATCAGTTCTCTCTCTGGAGGGAGATAGTATTTTTCATCATATGTCCTTTGGAATTGGATTGTGTTAAAGTAGCTAAGTCTTACATAGTTGATCATCATTCCAACATTACTGTAATTGTATACACTTTTCTCCTGGTTCTGCTTACTTCACTTTGCATCAGTTTATATGTCTTTCTAGGTTTTTCTAAAAGCATTCTGCTCATCATTACTTGTAACAAAATATTGCATTGCAGTCATATATCACGATTTGCTCAGACATTCTCCAATTGATGGGCATCATCTTCTTTGCACCACAAAAAGAGCTGCTAGAAATATTTTTGTGCTAATAAGTCCTTTTCCTTTTCCTTTAACCTCTTTGAGATATAGATCTAGTAGTGGTATTTCTAGATCAAAGGGTATGCACGGTTTTGTAGCCCTTTGGGGCATAGTTCCAAATTGCTCTCCAGAATGGTTGGACCAGTGCACAATTCTACCAACAGGGCTTTAGTGTCCTAATTTTCCCACATCCCTTCCAGCATGAATCCTTTTCCTTTTCTGTCATGTTAGCCAATCTCGTAAGTGTGAGGAATTGTTTTAATTTGCATTTCTCTAAT